CAAATCTTATGTGGGGTCATGGGAGAGCTGGATTGTGGAGAATGTGCAAACTCCACACAGAAAGGCTCAAATGGGAATCAAACCTGGGATTTTCTGGGACTCTCCCTGAGGAGACAGTCCTACCAACAAGCTACGATGCCACCAAATGGTCTAGTCCAGGGGTGTCCAAACCTGTTCCTGGATGGCTACTGTCCAGCAAAGTTTTGTTTCATTCCCAATTAAGCACATTTGAACCAGATGATAAAGGTCTTCAGACTCACTAGAAATGTCTAGGCAAGTGTGCTGGAGCTGGTTTGGAGCAAAACTCTGCAGGACATTGGCCCAGTCCATACTTTTACACTTTGAACAATCCTGGCAGTATTTAACATGGCACTGGTACTCATGGAATAACATTTCCATAATGTATATGACATGGAAAAGGATAAACAATAAATGAATAATATGATATGCTAAATTAATCCCTTTTCTAATTTCCTGAATGCTTTGTGTTTGTTTCACCCTAAAACAGCTATTTCGCATTGAAAATTTCTTGAAGATCTTGTTCCCACAGAACGCAACTGCTAAAAACAGTTTGAGCCGAATGACTGATGTAAGAGAATCAGTGTAGCGTAAAACAACCAAACCACAAGTACCAGCATCTCTCATTGAGCAGAAGCCAGCATGCACAGCCAATGATACCAGCATTTGACCGACCACGATCAAAACCCACAGCGAGCCTTCCCTCACACTTCCACAACATCTCCAACCCAAAACAACAGTCACATGAAGCCACATGTCAAACCCTGAAGCTCTCTCTCTATCTCACACCCATACACACATTAAAACACACAAACATCATTGCATGCATAAACACTAACTGGCGCCACAAAATTATGAATTTGACAGGAGTTATCATCACAGCAATTATGTACCTCCCTCTGCCACAAGACAATCTCTTTACAGAATACTTATGCAACATACACACACATTTACTGACTGCATTCAAACTAATTTCCTCAAGCACGTTCCCTTTTGCTATTGGTTGGTCAAATGGAACAATGTTTGGATTGCATCGAGCTCTTCACACTTTTGAGGGGAATTAATCTATACACATGGCTTACTTTAGATGTCTCTTTGTGTTAGAAAAAGTATTTTAATGAAAAATACTTGAAAAAATTACTTCAACTTCAACATTACAATTCTGCAGCATGGAAAGCTCTAACATGAAAAATTAATTTATTCAAATCCAGATACCGAGCCATTATCACACAAAAACCCAATCGCAGGTGTCATTTCTGATTTCAGAAACATTTTAATGCTTTTTAAACATGTCAAGACTACATCTGCCCTGAAGCCCAGTCTAAACCTATTAATTCTCCGATTTTTTCCTTAGACATTGTGTAATTTGAACATACTGTACAAATGTCTGCAATTTTAAGTGTATTTTAATTGTAAAGATGACAACTTTAGTGACCAGTGGGCACATATCTCTATATAGAAAATATTGGAAAGATTATGATAATGAGAGGTTCGCCCACCAGTTGTCAGGTACATTCCTGAGTAAACACCTAGAAATGGTAGCATGAATTAAACTCCACCACATGACAAGCTGTCAAAAGTTGCTTCTAATATGATTTCCACTTCCAGTTGTTTTTAAAACATCTATATATAGTCACTCCCAAAAGAATGAAAGAAAATTCAACAGTTAATTTTTTCATGTCCATTTTCCTTTGTTATTCCACACCACAACAACCAGGATGTTTTACCATGAGAACATGAATGTTACCCTTTGAACCTTACATTGTACCGGAGACTAAAGACAAGTGGCCATCAACAAAAAGCCAAAGTGCATTTAGGATAAGTAAGATTGTACAGAGAGGTTTGTAAACTCCAGATGAATCTAGATTATATTTCAACTGAGGATACAGTATGAAGTGTTTCCACAGTGTGATTTGTCACCATGTGGTATATGGGTATCTGTATCAGAGAGAGTAGATGGAATATCTGTGGTTTAGGACTGTTGGGTCAGACTCATGTTACAATACATAGCTGAGGTTTGAAGTGTGGTTGAACAGTTCAACCATATCAGTGACTGAATTCTCTGATGGCTGTCGTCACATAATGCTTTGAGTCTGACTTTAGCTCCATCAAATACACACACAACACACAGTCAAGTCTATCTTTCTCAAGTTTTTCACATCTCCTGTTGTTAATGTAGGATAATTAGAGTTACAACAAATGAATCCTAACCTAATCTTATTATAACAGCATAAACCTTCCATAGCATTAACCCTAACCAAACCCTACCCTAATCATAATTATATGTAACTATACTCTAGCCCTCAATCATAGGCACACACATTGCCATCATTCTCAATAGTACTGGTTAATGAAGGAGTGGTGGGGAATTAGAAGGTCACTGGGAAACTCAAAGGCTGTCAGGTTCAAATCCGCTCAGTTTAATGTGCTCTGAGGGGCAGTCACCACTTTGAACTGAGTTGCGGCTGATCCATTTCCATGCACTTCTTTATAATGCCAATCATGCATTTCAGCCGCAAACACACACGAGCAGGACTGAAGCCAATACAGTCACACAACCTCGCACATTCTCTCATGCACATGTCCCCATCATCAAACATTCACTGTCAGACTCACTCTCTCCATCCCTGCTCTCAATAGCAGTTATCTATGATAAACAGTATCGGTTTAATTACATCATAGTTAGATAATAAAGAACTACTTACAAAGCACTAAATAATAACATAAGGGGTTAGATATAGAAATGGTTCTAAAAAGCACCAGGGTTCTTTGGCTTGTTACATCAGCAGAACCTTCTCAAGTGCCAATTAGAACCCTGCTTTTTTAAGGTTCTAGAAGAGCTAAAGAACTATTCAAGCAAAAAAGTTTCTTTACACTCTTAAAAATAAAGAGATGGTCCTCACTGCAGAACATCAGATCCAACTTCTCCCACCTTACATATACCTAAACCCACCCATATCCACCCCCTAGATGTGGACCCAACCCCGCCCCCTGGATCTTTGTTCTGCAGTGAGGGGCTACTGAAAATAAAAGTTCTTCATTGGCATCTATGGAACCTTTCCATTGCATAAAATGTCCTTATAATGGCAAACAGTTTTTCAGATTATTAAAATGTTCTTCGAACTAAGAATAAAATGTATTTTTTGAACGTACTGTGGTTCTTCTATAGCATTGCTGCACAAACAACCCTTTTGGAACCTTTATTTTTATAAGTGTTTATACTAGATTCTAAATAGAACTAATGAATTCATCAAAGAATCTTCTTTTTAAAATGTACCTGTAGATCTGGAGTTCTGAGTCACGTTTTATTGCTGTGATTCCTTGAGAGGTCACTCAGAGGTCAAAGGTCAAGCAACAGGTCAGAGATCGGCCAAGCCTCAGAGCTCCAGATGTAGAAAAGCAGCGTGGATATCCGTCAGAAGTACACAATTTCTATCAAAGCTCTCCTGAAGATTGTGCCGTGTGCGTCTCCACCAGCCTTTCCTGTGTGAGTCCAGCTCTGCAGAGACCAAACTGAAGCAGTCACGCTTTATGGCTCATAGTTCCCCAGTTTCACTCATTTATGTGGCATCCAGCTCGCATTCTGTTTCACTGAGTCCTTCCCGGTGAGTCTTTGAATCATCTTCTCTCTGATTTACTGACACATCCCAGTGGCTCTCTAAAGAGAAGTGTGTGAGTGTGAAGAGAGCAGAAGGAAAATCATCAGTTACACACAAGTTACAGAAAGATTTATCTACACCTCTCTCTCTCTCCCTTCCTCTCTTTTGGTCTAGCACTCTCTGATACCTCCCCCAGAAGCCCACTGTTAATCAACCAGTCCTGAAAACATATTGTCTCTCTTTCTCTCTCTCCTCAGTTTCTCTGCCTCTCTCGCTCCCTGAATTGCAGCACTCAAGTTTGCATCCCTGGTTTAACCCCGTCCCTCTTGACTGCTGCAGTTAACATACTGTTTTCAGTGAAACATCTTGGTAAATATAGAAAATACTTCAATAAGCCCATGGGTTTGATCCAGATGATCATTTTATGAACATTTATATTGGTTTGATCAAAAAATGTGTGGGCTTGGTTTCTGGAACATTTTGGAAATTTTCACTGTGGCTTTATTGAGGTCCCGCCTGAAGGTTTTTTCTCGAGTGTCTTTCCAAATACAAAATGGTTTTATAAACAAGTTTGACAGCAGATCAAGGCAAGACAAAGCAGATGTGTTATGTGGCCTAAAAAAGACAAAAGCTTTCAGATGCAAAATCATAAATCTTTCACTCTACAGTTTATCATTTTAAGTTGAAGTTTCTGTGCCATAAATCTTCATTTGGCTTGGGATTTTACACAGGACTGACTGTTCTCCTTTTGTTTTCTTTGCTTATTCTGTCATTCGTTCTCCCATTCTGTTGTTTGTGTGGTTTTGAACTCATCTCCATTTGACCACAATAAGAATAACATCCCTCTCTTGTTCCTTTTCTTCTCTCTCAAACGCACACACACACACAATCTGGAGAACTAGAGTGGAGAACATAGGAAAACACTCAAAATTACATTTTACATACTGGTCGGAGGGACACACGTATACACAAATATTCTGGTTGAAATTAAAGTAATTGAAATACTCAAATGTCATGTTAAATTCCTCACTGTATTGATAGCAGCAAACTAGACTGTTCTGTTCAGAGCTGACTGTTAGTGTTGGATGGGTTAGTCTGGACCTCAAGATTTAATGCTGTTCTCACCAAACTGACCAAATAATCTAACTTAAACAGTAATTCAAAGCCTCTTAAACAAAAAAAAAATGGTGGAGTCATTGCCCTCTAGTGGTTAAAAACGCAATAGCAACCCTATGGTTAGTATTTGGCCAGTCGACATGCAAGCATTTTTTCCAGTATTAATATATATATATATATATATTTATTTTTATTTTTATTTTTTAATGTATTAAAGGGGTCATATGATGCGATTTAAATTTTTCCTTTCCCTTTATAGTGCAATAAAATCAATGCAAAAAGAGATGAAAGGTGAGAAGGAAGAGATCATCTCTGTCTAAAGCTTCTCGATTTTACACAATGTGCCTACGCTGTTATATTTAACTGTGGTTATGACTTAAAATTTTCTGATTTTGACATCATTTGATCAGTCTACAGTTGGAGACATTCCTGACAGACAGAAGAGGAGAGGAGAAGATCATTTTCCTCTTTTGAAAGACATTGCTGCATTTCCCAAATATTAGAAGTCCATGTCTAACTGTCTTAAAGACTGAAACTAGCAAGTAGCAAGTAGAAAATGATGTAAAAATTCAGTCTCTTGGACATGCATGTGATATGGTCTGTTGTCCAGGCCAGGGTATTTGTGATCTGGACCAATCAGATGACAGAGATGATGACAGCGTCCTCATCCTTGGTGGATTGTTTGAGGCTCAGCAAGATTGGACGACAGCAGGCAGCCTCTTCGGTATCAGAGATTTTCCCTGAAATACAAGACAAATGAGAAACAAAGAGAAAGACAAATGATTTTAAATGGAAACGGGCAGTAACAACAATAGACAAAACATCAGATAATGACTCCTTTCAGTGGGTCATTTACACAAATCTGTATCCTTACAGGAGCGTTATTTTAATACTGACAGCTCATGACAGCACACACAAAACAAACAACTTGAATTTCAGAGGGGTTGCATTACACGGAAAGTTCACCCAAAAATGAAAATTGTTATAATTTATGCATGTTTTTGTCATGGTATTATGAAAATATAATAAATTAAATATTATATTTTGGTCTGTTTCATATTTGAATCCATATCTGTTCAATATTTTTTAAAGTTTGGAGTTGGTAGGAGGTTTTTTTTAAAGTCTCTTATGCTCACCAAGGCTGGATTTATTTGATCAAAAATACAGTAAAAACAGTAAAATTTTTAAATATAATTAGATTTTAAAATAACAATTTACTATTTTGATACACTACCAGCCAAAAGTTTTTGAACTGTAATAAGATTTTTAATGTTTTTAAATAAGTCTCTTCTGCTCACCAAGCTTTTATTTGATATGAGGTACAGCAAAACAGTAAAATTCTAAAATATTTTTACCATTTAAAATAACTGTTTTCTATTTGAATATATTTTAAAATGTAATTTATTCCTGTGATTTCAAAGCTGAATTTTTAGCATCATTGTCACATGATCCTTCACAAAACATTCTAATATTTGCTGTAAAAAAAAAAAAAACATTTATTATTATTATGTTGAAAACGGCTGAGTAGAATTTTTTTAGGTTTCTTTGATGAATAGAAAGTTCAGAAGAACAGAATTTATCTGAAATAGAAATATTTTGTAACATTGTAACATCTTTATCATCACTTTTCAAAAAAGATGAATTTTGATAAATTCAAAGTATCCTTGCTAAATAAAATTATTAATTTCTATAATTTCTTTTAAAAAATTCTAATGACTGAAAAAAATGTACTCAACTGTTTTAAATATTATTAATAATAATAATAATAAATGTTTTTGAGCAGCAAATCAGCATACTAGAATGATTTCTGAAGGATCATGTGACACTGAAGACTGGAGTAATGATGATGAAAATGTAGCTTTGATCACAGGAATAAATTACATTTTATAATATATTCAAATAGAAAGCAGTTATTTTAAATAGAAAAACTATTTCACAATATTACTGCTTTTTCTGTATTTTGGATCAAATAAATGCAGGCTTGGTGAGCAGAAGAGTATTCTTTAAAAAACATTAAAAATCTTACTGTTCAAAACCTTTTGATTGGTATTGTATATTTTAAAATGTAACTTATTTTTGTGATGGTAAAGCTGAATGTCTTTAGTGATCCTTCAGAGAAATAACTCTGATATTCTAATTTGGTGCTGGGTGCCATTAGAAGGGGAGTTCAAACTGATAAAAACATCACCTTATTCCACATAACTTGAGGCCATTAATTAATGTTTTGTGATGTGAAAAACTGAGTGTTTTAAATAAATGCATCATTATTGTTTTAATAGTCTGTCCAATGTTGTCACTGACAACCACCAACAATCCACCAACATATTCATTTAGAACTGCTTGTAAACGGTGCTTGATCTCTGCATATTTCTCTCCTGATTC